TCACCCTTGCGATCACTGAGACATCACTGAACAGTTGGCGTCTGGTCGTCATAATGAAGTCAATCTCATTTTTTGTCGAACCGTCGGGGCTCGACCAGGTCCACTTCCTGTGGGGCCGCTTCTGGAAGAAAGAGTTCATCATAAAGAGTCCCCCTTTCTCCATAAAGTCAGCCAGCTGCTGGCCCCTACGGTTCCGTTGCCCTACTCCAAATTTCCCTAACTTCAGCTCACCGCCTTCTCTTGTGCCTAGTTTTGCGTTGAAGTCTCCCATCAACACCGTGTAGTGGGTTTTGGAGGAATGCATGGCTCTAGAAATATCCTCATACATTTCATCCACCTCCTCATCGGGATGTGCTGAGGTTGGTGCGGCCTGTATGACCTTCAGCGAATACCGTTTGGTGATTCTGATTCTGAGTATCAGGTACGCGACCCTCGTCGACATACTCCCAATCTTTACAACGTTGTTGACGAGAGACTTGTGGACGACAAATCCGACACCTCCTTGGGACAGATGGTCGCCCTCCCGGTGATAGAACAAGTTGCCGGACTCAAGGATTACCGTGTCCTCCCCCTCTCTTCGGACCTCAGATAATCCAATAATATGCCAGCGCAACTTGTCTACCTCTTCTTCCAGCTCCAGTATCTTCTCGTCAGTCCTAAGGGTGCGTGCGTTATACGTTGCCAGGTCGAGTCGTCGTAGGTGGCAACCGAACCTCCACCAGAGATTCTTAGCACCCCCTGCCCCGCCGTTACCATGGTCGCCACCGTAGCCAGGAATAGCGGGGCCGCCGGGGACTGGGGGCCGTTTATTTGCGTCGTTGCTCATGGGGGGGTATTTGCCATAGTTGCCACGCTTGGCGAGCGGGTTGGCAACCGCAGTTTTTTATTATGTTATTGTTATTATTAAGAAGATGCTGCTGCCCATCTCCTTCCTGTGTCCCTCTGTCACCTCTTACGACACCCACGGGAAGATATGGGGTAGTGGATATTCTCAACCGCCACTACACGGCGATTATATGTTTTATATTGAGACAGTGTATTTAATTTAGTAATTGTATATAATTTAGGATATGCGGGCGGCAAGACATTTGAAGAATGGATTTTTAACTATCTATCACTGTCGCATTGTGCCCCAACTACCGAGCAATCAAGACAAACAAACAGCAGCTCGGACTGATCATACTTATAAAAAATTTACAAAAACCTTCTTTGTTTCCTCATCCAGAATTTAACCATTTTTATTGATTTAATTTTTATTAATTTAAAGAACTATATGAATTTAAAGAACTGATGGACGAACACAGGCGAGTTTAAACTAAAACTGTTGATATTTTTTTAAATATTGGATTTTCAATATATCGATAAATAAACTTAAATATAAAACTCCGATATTGATATATGTATTTATAATTATAGATATATCGACAATTCAATATTATAAAGAACATCAACAGTTTTAGTTTGAACTGATCAGTTGGAATGAGGCGTCCATAAATTTATTTTTTATGTTCGTCAAAATTGTTAGCAGTGTTAGTAATTTTTAAAGATTACGTACTACTCCCAAAAATAACTATCATATTGAAAAAAAAAACAATACATAGGAACATAGTACTGGCATATACAACATGTAACAAAAACCCTGTGGTACCCGTTAACTGCGTTATCAGAATCAGTATCCAAGCATATGGAAATATTTTTTTCAAAAAAACGCATTTAAAAAATTAAATTTAATGAAAAAAAAAATAATTTGCAATAATAAAACCACATAGGTTTTATTATCTCTGCATTGGCCGAGGAGTAAGAGGATTGTCAAAGACCCCGCATTACCGATACTCGTGTGAGTTAGAGGAAATAAAACCACATACAATTTGCAAAAATATTTTTTTTTTTTCTATACGCTCGGCTACTGATTCTGATAACACACTTAACGAGAACCACAGGGATTTTGTTACATATTGTATAGACAGTATATTAAAAAAATATTTGTCCTAATGTCATTATCTAGAAACAAAACAAAAGAACTAATTTGTATGGAATAAACGCCACTCGGATATCCTCATAAATAGCTACTGCTTCATCTATATTCCATACATGCAAATAAAATAGAAATGTCTGTCTGTAATATTATTTTTTATAGCATAGGGATACAAACGAGCACACAGCCCACCTGATGGTAAGTTGTTGCTGTAGCCCATGGACATGTACATCTATCCTCGATTACGAATCAAAATGCAGATGTGTTGTCACCCGTGAGGACTAAAATGGAATGCCTCGTTTCCAGTAAAAAGGGTCTCCGGTTCTCTACACTCACCATACGAAACACAGCAGCATTAAGCTACTATTTGACGCTGGTATTCTGTCAGAGCGTGGTCCTTCGCCGATCGAGACGACCCATTCGTGCTACAACTATACTACTTATATAACTGCAGCATGGCTCTACCACGTATAATATCAAAATCAAAATAACAAAAATATCAAAATAACTGCGTTATAATACTGACCTCATAAATAAACCCATTAATAGTGTAAAGACATTAAACTCTCTTTTAACTGTGCCATTATAATATACAACACTTGCTCGCGGAAAGTTCCAAAAACCATCACGAAATTACTACACAGGTTGCACTAAAAGCATCGGGAATGGAATATTTCCACTGTTCCTGTCATATTAAAATCTTTTTAATTGAAAACTCCGTGGTTTTAAAAATCGAATACCATTTATTTATTTAAAAAAGATTCTCGGTCTTGTCACAAGGTTTTGTCAAACTTGTTTAGTCGTTGAGAAAATGGAATTGACTCGAGAAAATTCAAGAGCGATGATTTATTATGACTCTCGAAGTGGTTTAACACAAAAACAGTGTGTTGACCGGATGATTTCTGCATTTGGTGATGAAGCCCCATCCAAAAACACAATTTATCGCTGGTTTGCTGAATTTCAACGTGGACGTGTCAAGCTCAGTGATGATCCCTGTCAAGGTCGTCCAAAAACTGCAGTCACCCAAGAAAACGTTGATGCTGTGCGTAAGCTGATTGAGGAAGATTGACATGTGACATACCGAGAAATTCAGGCAACTTTAGACATTGGCATGAGTCAAATACAAATAATCTTGCATGAACAATTAGGTGTAAAAAGTTGTTTTCCCGATGGATACCGCATTCGCTCTGTGAAGAGCAAAAAGTGGCTCGCGTTACTTGGTGCGTTAGAATTCTCGAAAGATTCTACGCAGGATCCTCAAATACTGTATACAACATCGTATTAGGTGACAAATCCTGGATATACGCGTACAAACCCGAAACAAAAAAAAACAGTCACGAGTTTGGGTGTTCGAAAATGAGTTAAAGCCAACAAAAAATGTTCGTTCACGGAGTGTTGCAAAAAAATGGTGGCCACGTTAGTCTCCAAAACCGGCCATGTTACGACTATTCCTCTTGAGGGACAAAGAACGGTTAATTCAGAATGGTATGCTACCATTTGTTTGCCACAGGTCGTTTCTGAACTCCGTAAAGAGAACTGCAACCGCCGCATCATCCTCCATCACGACAATGGAGTTCTCAAACCGCACACAGAACAAAAGAGTATTTAGAGCAAGAAAACATAGAATTATTAGATCATCCGCCGTACAGCCCCGACCTAAGCCCTAATGATTTCTATACTTTCCCTAAAATAAAGAATAAATTGCGTGGACAGAGATTTTTATCACCTGAAGAAGCTGTGGACGCCTACAAAACGGCCATTTTGGAGACCCCAACTTCCGAATGGAATGGTTGCTTCAATGATTGGTTCCATCGTATGGCAAAATGTGTCAAATTTCGCGGAGAATACTTCGAAAAGCAATAAATACATTTTTAAATAGTACTGTTGTGTCACTTTCTTGATTCCCGAAATTTTCAGTGCCGCCCTCGTAATAGTCGCCAAAACTGACGTTAAATATGTAACATTGGTGAATATCAAAGCATTCTCTCTGAACCACTGTCAACAGCTGTTTAAATGTTGTATTATTTAATAAGTATTTTGTATAAGTAATTTAATAAATTATATTGTGTTATTTAGTTGTAAGGTACAATGGGGACTGACATATTAAAAATAACGTAACTCGCTAAATTAAAAAAAGGTATAAGTAACCATCTTTAAAAGATTTCCGGGCTAATCTTCAGAATGGTTGATTCAATTGTAATGAAATTCCACGAACAGAGAGCTAAATTTTATCCAAAAAACTTGGATTTAAAAAAAAACGACAAATTATTAAAATAAACGTTCTTTGTTTATATCTTAAATCTAAATAACGCCATATTTAAAAATCCACATAAGCGAAGTCGAGCGGGTCGCTGCGCTGGTTTGAAATAATAGTTTATTTAATATGGAAATCCTTTTTTTATATCAGATTATAAAATAAGTAAAGAAAATAAAATGTAGGTATTATTTTAGTTATTCCTCCAACAATATACTCTACACTATAGTAGACTTAGCGATAGCCGTGATTTCCATTACGCGAGTAACCCCGGTTCGTTCCCAGCCGGCACCAATGTAATTGTAAATCGCAATTTTAAGTGCTGATTTACCACATTTACGGCGGTGAGGGAATATCGTGAGGAAACCTGCACGTCTGAGGAATAAGATATTTCGAGGATATGTTAAGTCTACCAAACACGGAAATATTTTCTCGGACAAAAAGTCTGGCCCTCAGGTCTGGAAGGCATTAAGGCTGTTTTACTTTTACTAACTTATCATGTAGTGGCGGTTTAAAAATATCCGCTACAACATATCACCCAGTGAGTGTCCTAAGAGGTGGACGGAAACAAATCAGGAGATGGGCAACAATGTGTTCCTACTAACGACTAAAAATAAAAAAACTTTGGTTGCCAACCCGCTGGCCAACTGGCAACTGGCAATATCCCCCCTATGAGGTAATCTATGGGGAGGCCTATGTTCAGCAATGAACTTTAATGGCCTGTAACGGTAACTTTTACTAACTTAACATAAAAGTATCTCTTTTACTTACCCATTGGCGGCACGATATATAAATGCTCGACTCTATGCTGGACGATGGTTTTTAGGAACAGCTCCGGGTTGAAGTTAGCGAAGGTAATCAACTTGCTGCCTCTGCCCAAAAGACTCATCATGACTGCGTTAAAGCCGAAGATGTGGAAGAAAGGCAATACGGCTGGTATCGACGACTGATATTTTGCTGCAAATAATATATATTTATTTTAAGGGGTTATTTCGGACGAAAAATTAAGAAATATGCAATTACAATGTAGTGGCTGTGAAAGCCTATCCACTACGCCATATCATCCCGTGGGTGTCACAAGAAGCGGAATGGGGAAACTAAATAAGGAGATGGTGATTAGCATCTGCCTGCCAATTCTGACAACTTGAGTTCGATGAAGCTGTAAGAGCCAAAAGGCTAACAGCACTAGCATCCTCAGAATACAGTGGTAAATGTGTCAAAGGGTATTTCATAATCTACGAAGCAAACTATGGGTGGGGCCTATACTCGTATTCAACAGTGGACATTTGATAGGCTATCCTGTGAGTGTATGGTCATTCCTCGATTGATCCAACCCAGTCACTCTGCAGCTAATCAGATATACTGGATGACCTTTTTTACCGTCTGGAAAAAATATGATGTAACATGTAAACGGAGTAGAAGCAAGTTGCGGAGCAGTAGGGTTGGCAACCGTAGTTGATTTTTTACGTTGCTGCCCATCTCCTTATTTGTTCCCCTCTGACGCCTCTTACGAGTCTAACGGGATGATTTGGGGACACACACAACACACACAACACACACACACACACACACACACACGCACGCACACCCACACACACGCACGCAAACACGCACGCACGCACGCACGCTCTCACTCGCGCACGCGCACGCGCACGCACACGCACACGCACACGCATACGACACACACACACACACACACACACACACACACACACACACACACACACACACACACACACACACACACACACACACACACGTATACAAAGGTGTGTGCGCGCGCGCTTTTTACTATTTGTAAAAAAATAGCGTATAACATGTGAACGAAATATAAGCCTATAGCAGTGATATTTTACAAAAAATAAGACCAAAAATGTTGAATGAAATTTTTTTTTAACAATTACTTTGCCTTTTGCCCCTGAGCCTGTGACCCTGCGAAGTGATAAGATCAGAGACGCCTACTAAATTTATTGTTTTATTGCCGTTCGTAAAGTAGGTTGGATATGATTCTAATTTCAATAGATTTTAATTCATTTATATAATTCAAAATTTTTGTTTCTATGTTTTGTAAAATAACAGTGCCATAGGCTTCTATTCCGTTCACATGTTATACCCTATTTTTTCTAAATGGTAAAAAAGGTCATCCAGTATATATATACAACATGTAACATAATTAACGTACTTTGAGAAAGTAGTTTGTTCAGAATCGTTTACTGAATCGATTCCTATCATTTTTAATATAGGTAATTTTTTATCCCAAAAATAATTAAAACTACATAAATTACAGTCACACTAAACCTGTACAGTCAAAACAAACTGAAATGGACCGTAACTTAAGGCAATAAGATTTTGCGAGTGCAGTTTAATTTGTATTACTACTAATTCTGTCATTCAATAAAAATAAAGAAAAATAAACTTCATTTCAAGCACATTAAAGTCTTTGCGTTCGTGGATTTGTACTGTGACCACAATATATATATATATATATATATATATATATATATATATATATATATATATATATGTGTGTGTGTGTGTGTATGTCCCCATATCATCCCAAGAAGTGTCGTAAGAGGCGACAGAGAGATGGGATGGAGAGGAGATGGGCAGCAACGTCTTCCTAATAACGGCTAATAATAAAAACTGCGGTTGCCAAACCGCTTGCCAAGCGTGGAAACTTCAGCAAATATACACCCTCTATGAGGCTATAATCTATGGGTGGGGGAGGCTTATGTTCAGCAGTGGACGTTAATAGGCTGAACAGACCGAAACGGTGTATGGTATAAATAAACTGTTATCAAAATAATAAACGAAGAGAAATCATACGTCTGTCCCTTTTCGTTTACTTATATAAACCCAACGCTGTAGATTTTTTTTAATAATATATTTTCTAACTTACCAGTCGCTTCTTCAACCGCTAGAACGTCCGGATCGTAAATCATTTGATTTATAGCGACCACGCTTTCATGTGTCAGGACTACACCTTTAGCGAAGCCAGTAGTACCACTCGAGAAAGGCAATATGGCAACGTCCTTCTTACTCCTTTGTACTGACTTCAAGCAGTCTGTGTCTACCGACATATCCTCGGCGAATTCCGCAAACTTTATGGTGCCTTCCGGTATTCCATCATTATCTATTAAGATAACTGCTGGTTTTGTTTTTAGGGATTTAATTGCTTCAGCTACGTTTGGGTAGGACAATTTCGAAGTTATAATCGCTTTGCAATCGATTAACTCTAACTGTTTCTTAAACTCATCTGTAACAAAGTATCTTTTTTACCAAGATATTTTTAAACTTATAGATTCGTCTTACTCGTTCTAGAATGGCAATACGAAAGTCAGGTAATTGCCAGACTCACATTCAGTCGAGCTCTCGCTCTCGCGTCGCGGCTATACTTCGCTATAGGGCGTAAATCTTCGAGTGGCAAAAATGCCTTCCTGTGTTTTTAGATGGTGCACAAATTACACGGCAACTGTTACGAGGCAAAAAAACGTCTCATTTCATTCATATGTACATTTTTTAAAATTAAAACATTAGATGTAATTTCGTTTAACTGTTGTTTAATACGTGTAAGGTAAAGATCGAGATGTAATCTGTGCATGAGAGTGAAAGAGACAATGTTATCCTCCGTATCGGTAAGTCACGCGCTCAGCAGCAATCGATACGTAACTAATAATGTATATTCATCTTTTTCTAACGATATGTATCATTTGTCTCTTTTTGTTAGCGCAACGTGTAATATTAAATAACTGTATGTAGATTAGTACTACTTGCGCCACTTTAAAATACAATAATGTTAGTGTATAACCTGTCTATCCTTTTTTATACGTCTTTGCTTTTTTAAGGTTATGGTTGTAAGTTCGAATCCACCTGTAGACTGCTGTATGTGTGTAAGAATACACTACTCCATTTCGTCCCGTAGTGTCGAAAAAGGCGACACAGGGAAACTGAATCAGAATAAGTAGCAGCACCTTCTTGATAACAACCTAAAATTATGCCAAGTGAGGTAACTATGGCAACATTCTCCCTATGAGGCAATATATGGTTCAGAAGTGGACTTTGTGGGCTGTAACGGATTCGACAACTGTAGGTGTTGAGAAAAACTCCTAACACAAATTTAAACAGCAACTTTAGTTGCTTGTTAATTGCCTTTCTAGTGTTTTTTTTTAATTTTATTAATTAGTCATACGTATAACATTTATCTCACTCACACGTAAAACCAACCCGCCACGCCAGGTTAGTCTTACCTGTGAGTTACATTGTTACATGCACATTGTTTTAGTGCGCGTAAGCTGGAGAGACAAAAATAACGTACAATGTGTTGTTCAATTAAGGTTGACTGGCTAACGCTTCCCACACAAGCACACGTATACACTTCAGAACTACGTCTATCATATTATTGTCTACAGATTCTACTACATTTGAACGTAATTTACGTACATTAATCAAAAGAAAAAATAAAACACATGTACATATTATATATTACCATAATTGGCATTTGGCAAATTGGCATTGCAAATTGTTGTTTGTATCATTATAAGTATAGGTAAATAGCTGTAACTGTGGTGTTTCTATACTCATACTAGCGGTAAAAATAATAGGTGCATTTATTATATTATGATATTCTGATATTCTTTAATGATTTCTCATAAATTTTATATTTATTGTACGATATCACCATGCTGGTCTAACATTGGCAATCGATTTCTGTAATCATTTGTTGTACATTATGTAAAAATGTTAATGCTATAGTGCTTGACCCACGTGACTTTGGGTAAATTTTGTAATAATTTTATAACATTATGTTGTAGCATTACCGGAGTAGGATCACGCACTCACATACCACTAGCGAAAAATAGCAGCGCTGTGTTTCGTATGGTGACTGTAGAGAACCGGAGACACTTTTTACTGGAAATGAGACATTCTATCTTCGTCCTCTGGGGTGAGAATGCAAGTACGAGGAAGATGCACACCCAATGTGGACATTGATTCTTGATCAAAGGAAGATCGAAGACAGCCAAATCATCTACTTACCATCAAGTGGACTGTGTGCTCATTTGTGTATTACTTTATCCTATACTAAAAGTAAAGTGTCAGCTCGATTGCGCAGTAGACAAACTTATCTAATCTGTGGCTGTGAGTCTGCGGATTTAAATCAAGCACGTAACTATTTGTGTGGCCTTCATATGATTGTTCCGCGTTTAAATGTTTGCATATACTGGATGACCTTTTTAACAGTCTGGAAATAAACAGGGTGTAACATGTGAACAGAGTATAAGCCTATGGCACTGATATTTTACAAAAAAAAATGAATTAAATTCATTAAATAAAATCTATCGAAATTCAAATCATATCCACCCTAGCCTTGCGAAGTGAAAAGATCAAAGATGATCCTACTTAATTTATTGTTTTATTGCTTATTGCCGTTCGTTAAGTAGGGTGGATATGATTGGAATTTCTATATATTTTAATTTATTTAATTCAAAATTTTTGTTTTTATTACATGTTACACCAATTTTTGTTTTTATTATATTTTTTTCCAGACGGTAAAAATATCATCCAGTGTATTTATGACTAGCGATCCGCCCCGGCTTAGCACGGGTGATTTCTGAATCTTGCACAACAGGGTCCAATTGTACAAAAGTGTGTTCATCTTGTGCTAAAAATAATACCAAATAATCTCCAGGTTTAGTCTACAGTAGATATGAAAAGTCAGTTTTTGCTACACCAGTCAGTGTGCTCAAAACTCAGTAACAAACAGCTGACTACTAGTGTTGCCCAAAATCGATCTTGGTCTTGGACCAAGATCAAGACCTCCTAATTTTAGCAAGACCAATACCAAGACTGACCGTGCAAGATTTGAGCAAGAACAAGACTAAGCCTGCGAGACTCTTGCGTCTTGCAGTTAGGCCTAAGTGTCGTTTCAGTAAGTATAGGAGTTCGGGTAAACGCTTAGGGACTCTATGAGACGCAAAAAATTTATAAACATTTTTGTAAAACTGGACTTATGCGCATTACGAACAATACCATAACATACATAGCAAATGGAAATATATTAAAAGCAAAAAGAGTTCATACCTAGTTTTGAACATCGGCACTTTGATAGTTTTTTTTTTTAATAGGATAAGGGTGACAAACGAGCACACAGTCCACCTGATGGCAAGTGGACGCTGTGGATCATAGACATCTACAATTAATTTCGCTTAAGAATCAAAATACAGATGCGTTGTCACCCGTGAGGACTGAGATAGAATGCCTCAATTCCAGTAAAATAGGTCTCCGGTTCTCTACACTGACCATACGAAACACAGCAGCATTAAGCTGCTATTTTACGCTGGTATTCTGTGAGAGCGTGATCCTTCCCCGGTCGAGCCGACGCTTTCGTGCTACAACCATTACTGACATTTTGACACTGTTTGATTGACGCCACAGAGTACATGTTCCGAAGAATAAAATAAGTTTCAGGTGCTCAAAATGGACAAGAATACATTATACTGATCTCGCAATGAATATTGTAATTAGATAATGGTAAGGATAGGTAGATACCATAATAATTTATTCTAGTAAGTAATTATTATAACATTAACTATATGGGTTTATAATATTTACTTACTATTTTTATTATTATTACATAATAGATAAACATGTTCAATAAGTTCACTGCAAATCTCGATTTTGGGAAGTGTGGGTTTCTTATTACTGTGTTATTTTGTATGAATTCTTGGTCAATTTTTTTTAAGTAACAGTAATGTCATAGCTATCGTGTACTGTTATGTAATTTAATTTGTATTGTATTTTATTTTTTATTTAGATAAATGATAAATTGTATGAATTGTATAACTCTTATTCCATTTCATATAAGGAGAGGGTCTATATCAATCTCTTTCTAGACAGCTAATGTTCTTTAAAATACAGTCAAGTTCATGTCATAAACTTTTTTAATATGTTTTAACCATGATTTAGCCAGTGGCGAAGCTACAGCTCCAAACTAGGGCAAGCCCAAGATATAAATTGATAAAAATATAGATTGTTGTTTTTAGCAGTTTTATAAAAATACACCAAACTTCATCTGTCTCCACGCTTCAGTTTCATATTCAGTGCTGTAAAGGACTTATTTAACAAAGCACACAGAAGGCATACTACTGCTAGATAGATTTTATTTTTATTACATATCAGCAATTGCATAGCTTCGGTGGCTTTGAAGAAGGCCGTTTGAGTTTGTTTAAGCGAAAGAAAAAAATATTTACATCCAATACAATACAATACATGAACAAAAGTAAAAGATGAACAAAGTACAAACTATGTACAAAATAAAAAAAAAAACAAATTATTTACATTCTAATGGATAAGAGATAAGATAAGTGGAATCGTCTCGTTTCTAGTAAGGAAAGATTTAAATTACTCACTAAAATGGCGTTTATAATTTTACCATAACTGTTTTATTATTATTACGATAATTGATAAGTCTGAAATACACTCTTGACCTTGTATATTACCTCAACAACGTTTAAAGATTTTACCTTTTCCTCACCGATTAGCACTCTAACACACTTCAATTCATCACAAGGAACACTCTTTCCCTCCATTTTCATTAAAAATCTTTAAAAAAGCATAAATTTTAAACTCGCAATACATTCGCTCAAGATCAACACACAATGCACAAAGTAGTTTTTGACACAATGTAAACACTAAACATTGAAATGTGACGTGAACTTGCTAACATATCGTCGGCTCGTCGGCATCGGCCGCGCGCCTCCTCTCTCGACTAACTTCATACCTAACGTGACCATACGTCCCACTTTAGGCGGGACGTTCCCGATTTCAATGTTGTGTCGCGCTATCCCCAAAATACGTAAAAATGTCCCGCTTTGACAAACAAAAACGTGACAATCATGCAAACCCTGTCACCCGTGCCATCATTGGCAGCCTGGACACCGCGCGTACCAGGTTTGCATAGCTTGTCTAGTTACGTGATTATTCTGAAAAGCTACACTTTTGAATTTAAAGTTACGAAGTGACAATTTTTAATTACTACAATAAATTATCAAAGGACATAATATATTTCCATTTATTTATTTATTTTATGTTCAGAATTCACTTTTGATCATTAAAAGACTCAAACAACTATGTGTTTTATTTATAAAACTATATTAAAGGGTTCCAGATTGAATTTTGGTAACGGCGTAAGTATAATACTAACATATACAATAATTGTAATACTACTGCTACTGAGAATTTTGTGACGGAAAAACCCAA